GACTCGATGGCACATAACAACAAAAACAACATATTAGTTCAACTGACCTCTAAAAACATTAATCCAGGTTCATATACATCATATACTATGGTTTCCCCCTCTTTAAAATGTTGTCGTATTCAGCTATACTAATGGATATTGGTGCTTTGTGTAGTGAGGAAGGAGGAGCGTGACTATCTAGCAATGACCCTGGAGGGATGCTTGTGTCAGCCCCAGGCACAGCGCTAACGCCGCACCCACTCCAAGCCTGGGTTTCATTTCCTCTTCTCATTTCAAAAATGTTTCCCTGTCTTTGCTGCACTATTGGAATTTAAAAAAAAAACAACAAAAAAAACAACTTTAGATACAGTCTATTAATCCTCTTAATCCTCTTCCAGAAATAAGTTTCCAAACTCAGAAATAAGGGTTAGATTCTCTGAGAAGTTCAAACACAAAGTGAACATCCACAAGCAAAGGTATCATCCACAGGAAGTAGACTCATCATTTTTGCGCCTGGCTTTTCACAAAGTTCCCTATCCTAATATTCCCTCATTAGCAAAGTATAGTTCATGGGCACAGACAACACACAATTTCAGACACGCCTCCAGGTATCAGGGGTTAATTAAATGTAGCCTTAGACTCTGAATGAGTTAATTTGCAAGTACCAATGGGCTCCGTTGTTGTGATGTGTCTTCAAATCAGAACTGACCCATAGCTGACCCTCCAGAGACTGTATGTCCAGAGACTGTAAATCACACAGCATGAAACCACCCTTCTTTCTCACACAGAACAGCTGGTGGATTTGAACTGCATGTCTTTGGGTTGGCGGTGTAACTCCTTACCACTAGGCCACCAGAGCTCCCAGACCTAGAAAGCATTTAGAGTTCTACAAAAGCCACATACACAGCAAACTGTCTTTATTCCACCTATCTGGCACCTCCTTGAGAAGCTCCGGTCTCAGAACTGTATGTGGCTTGATTCAGACTGAACACTGAGTGAACAATTACCGGCTCTCTGAGACAGAGAGATACCAGCAGGAGCAAAGAGGTCTCTGACCAATAAAACAAAAAGGGAACTCTGCGGAGGTAAGATGTCCGGAGGGGCTCTGGCCAGCTCGGACATATTCACGGGAATGTAGGCCAAACAAGTGCAGTGTCTGCACACAAAAGACCCCAGAGGTGTCTCCCTCTCTCATCTCTGGTTGAACTTGAGATTTCCCTCAAGCAGAAAGTGAAGGCCAAGGCAGTTTTAATCAGGCTGCAGGAGCACTGAGTACATGTCCCCAAACAGAGAGCAGCCCTCAACAAAGGTAGGGAGACTTAGCAGTTGAAATCATTAAAGGACATCTCCGTCCCGTCATTAGCAGGCCACTTGCAGACCGAGCAGAGACGTCAGTGCTCACAAATGGGAATACAGATTTCAAATAATCAAAATAAGTCACCCAGCAATCAGCAACGGGAAAAACAGAAATAAAGATACCCAACCTCATTAGCCATAGTAAAATGCAAAACACACACACACACACAAGAAGATATGGCTTCAGATCCACTGTTGCTGTTAGGTGCCATCAAGTTAACTACGGCTCATAACAACTCTATGAACAACCGAGCAAAGCTTGGCTTTATCCTACATCATACAGTCTCTGCCAGCCTCAAGCTGACTGTCGCAATCACTGGATCAGTCCATCTTCTGGAGAGTCTTCCTGTCTTTCCCTGACCAAGAAATGCCCACAGAATCTGTCAGTATTGCAAGATAGTGCAAGACAGGTTTGAATTTTTTTTCCTTTGGCTCTTTCAGCCTGAGAAATGTTAAGCATGGTCTTTCTTTTTGGTTTTCTAACTTTAGCTCTTTGCACATTTCATTACAATACTTTGCTTTATCTTCTTGAGCTACACTTTGAAATCTCTTTTCATTTCAGCATTCTTTCCCTTTGTTTTGGCTTTCCTACACTGGAGAGCAAATTTCAACATTTCCAACATCCATTTTGATCTTCCCCGCCCCCCTTTTTTTTATTTCTTTTTAATACAGAAGGAAGCTCTGGTGGTGGGTGGCTTAGTGGTAAGGAACTGCGCTGTCATTGCAAAGGTACATGTTTCGGACCCACCAGCTGCGCCACAGGAAAAAGATGGGCAATCTCCTCCTGTGTAATTAACCTCCTCTAAAAACTCGCTGGATGGTCAGCTATGGGTTGGTCCCAACTCGTCAGCACACACTAGCAATATGTGCTTACAGAAGAATATTATCCAGTTAGAAACAGCACTTCACACTGGTATAAAATAAATTAAAAAAAAAAACCACACAACAACACAGCATTGAAGTATTAATGTATGCTACAATCAGAAGAACCTTTTACTATCCAATGCTAAGGGAAAGACACAATTCGTTATACTACACTGCTTTGTCCCTTGAGCTATTCTCTAACATCTTCTCTTTGCCCCTCCTATTTCAGCATCTCTTTCTTTTGGATTGGCTCCAACTCTACTGCAAGTCTCAGAGTCTCTTCTGAAATTCATTTTGGTCTTTTTCTTTCCTTTCTTTGCTATGACCTTTTGCTTTCTTCATAGATGATGTCCTTGAATGTATATTGGAGATTATTTTTAATTTCAGTTATGATGGACTCAAGGTTATAATCTGGCCCTCATGGACTTTTCCTTGTCTTCAGCTTCCATTTGAACTTGGAATAAGGGATGATCTGGTCCACAGCCAGCCACTGGGGGTGGTCTAACTTCTCTTAATGAGGCTCCCCGTCAACATAACCTTGCTTGCAGAAAATTAAGACTTAAAGCTTCTACAGAAGATCAAAGACAAGAGCCTTCGATATAAGATGGCTTATGTCTCAGTACCAAGAAACAAAATTCTCACCACTGAACCAACAGGCCACATTATGATAGATGGAGACCAGACTGAAATTGTCAATCATTTTCATTTTACTTATATCTACAATCAACACCCACAGTAAGATCAATCAGAAAATATACAACATGTAACAGAATGACAGCTTATGGAGGAATGTCACAGCGACAAAATTGTGAAGTGATTCAGAATAGTTAGTATTCAATGCTGCAAAAAATTACTTTTTAATTCTGAAGCAAATAAAACAAATGTTAACATGATCTAGGTGGCATTCAATGGATATTGGTTATAAAAATCCTTGTTATTTTTCATGCGTTCAAATATTTAGCAAGTGTTCAAATATCTGGAGTTTTGTTCATGGTTTCCACTTTATCAATGTAATCCACATCTAAAGTGTCATGTAACACACCAAACTATCTGTAAAGTATTTCTTTCACACCATTTAATTTATGATGAAATGGAATAGAATTCATTAAACTCAAGATTAACTTGCTCTTCCCCAAATAAATTTTACTTTAAAATTTCTAGCACAGAATTTATTTTCTTTTTTAAAAAAAGTATTTTGGGGGGGTGAAAATTTACTGAGTAAATTTGTCTCCCATTTAATAAACTATACACATTTTATTTTGAGAAATATAATTTATTTTCTAATCAAACAAAAATCTTTCTGGATTTGTGGTTGAATGAGAAAAATAGAGTATGTGCATTGAGCCTGGAAACTGGAGGAATGTTTTCCTTTTTTCTCACCAGAGGGTGGTGTTGAGCTTGATAAATTTTTAAATAAGGCTTGTTTTTGAGCTGACATTTAACATCACTGGAAACCACATTGTGCTGTTATAAAATAAACTTGCTTGCTTTCTACATTTCTAACAAACAGCCTAAAACACATGATTCTCTCTATGTATACATATAAACAACATTTCTCAGAATCCAAAATATGGCTCCAAATATACAACTACACTAGACAATGTTATCAGTACTAAACTACTCATCTTTTCTAGCTTATGAAATAAATCAATATTGTACATGATAAACTCATGATAAAATCAGAAGCTGCCACTCTCAATCTCTAAAAATAGGACAATTCTTCAAGCAAGTAAAGTGCTGTAATTGAAAAGTATTATCTGACACCTTTTTTTTTAGTACCTATCATATTTGCTCTCTAACTTCGTAGAGCTCTGGCGGCTTAGTGGGTCAGGAGTTACACTGCCAACCCCCAAAGCAGGCAGTTCTAATCCACCAACTGCTCCGCTGAAGAAAGAAAGGCAATACCCTCCTGTAAGATTTACAGACCCTGAAAACCTGCTGGAGAGTAAGCTATGAACTGGCAGATGGCAACAACAATAACTATCACTGCTTACTAGAAGGACTCAGAGAAGCTCAAAGACTACAGTCTTCAATAGGGATTACACTCAACATCAAGAAAACAAAAATCCTCACACTGGACCAATAGACAAGCACCTTGATCCTCAATGACATCCCGTCAGAACCAGTTCCTAGGTGAGCTTCAGTGAGTGTTCACTTCACAGCCTCCATTGGCAGATTTGGACCCTTGAGGGGCACTGTCTCTGGGTTAACAGCATAACTCCCTATTAACTATACGAACAGAGCTCCCTAACACCATGGAAGATGGAGAAAACATTGATGTTACCAAGGATTTTCCTTTATGTAGGATCCACAATTTACACCCATGGTAGCAGCAGTCAAAAATAAAGGCATATTGCATTAAGCAACTGTTGTCAAAGACCTCTTTAAGGTGCTAAAGGTCCAGGATGTAAAAGGCTAGGCTAGGTCTGACCTTAATCATGGGATTTTTCAATTGTTTAATATGCATGTGAAAGTCGGACAGTTAATAGGTAAGACCAAGAAAGAATCGATGCCTTTGACCGGTGATGTTGGTGAAGAGTACTGCAGAAACCATTGTCTGTCTAAAGAACCAACAGATCTGTCTTGGTAGACGTGCAGTCAGGGCAGTGTTCCTCACAAGCATGGATGGGGACACTTTGTGTTGGCTCCTCTGGGCAGGTTGTCCAGAGGTGCCAGTGCTTGGAAAAAGGCATCATGCTGGGAAGAGCAGAGCACTGGCCAAGAGAACGACCCTCAAGGAGAAAGCCTCACACGGAGACGGCAACAGTGAGCTTGATGATAGAGAAGATGGCCCGGGATAGGGCAATATCCCCATCTGTTGGTCACAGGGTCACTGTAAGCAGGGATTGACGTGATGGCCCAATAACAACAAATTATGGGCACCTGGAGTGAATATGTATACTAAAATATTACTTACTGTTTGGAAAAACAAAACAGGGCAGAACTAGCATCAGAGTCACTTTCTATACCATTTGCTGCTTTGTCATTTCCCAGGAAACTACTGAGTAATATTCTTTGCTGCCCAAGATCACTGGAAGCAAAGTTCCTCACACACTCACCCCGATTCCTAGCAGCTGTCTCCTGATGTCTACTCCTGATCTCACACTGCCGTTCACTGTTTGTCTCCTGCGCCCCCCTTACTTCAAAGTATTGGATACTACCCACATTCCCCACTCTTTATTACAACACACTCCTTCTCTCTGTCACTGCACATACATACCAACTTTCGTCAGCCAGTGAAGAAGAGATCTCTTTAAGTGACCCACAGCTGACCATTTTGTAAGTTTTCAGAGGCAGTTAATCACATGGGAAGAGGCTGCGGGTGGATTTGAACCACACACCTCTACGTCTGGGCCACCAGAGCTAGTTAGTGGTTTAGAAACAAAGTACAACCACTGTCTGCCCCACGTTGCCAACAACAGAAAAACCGTGACAACAAGCATCCTCCAAGTTCAGTGATACTGAAGGAAGGGGGAAATGGTAACCGTTTACACTAAAAACTAAATTTTAAAAAACTGAACATTATAAAAATGTATCTTTTAAGATCAACAGAAAAGACTGATTTCTAAGAATGTCATCAATTTGATTTGTACTAAAATTCAAAGAACTTTTTTTAAAGGCAAAAGGGGTTTTTTTTCCATTTACCAAACAGAGGCACAGATCTTTTTTTTTAAAAAAAAAAAAAAAGAAGGAAAAATAAACACTATCTTAAAGTCAGAAAACTTTTGAACTCCAGGATAACTTTCTCAAGAAAAATATCTCTGTTTAGTTCTTTCTCTTTAGTTTTTTTACACCTCACAAGGTGTAAAATTAGATTTTCTGTTTGGGTTCAAATTCTATAGCCTAAATTAGAGAAACACTACACCAGTGTGTCAGTTAAAGATGAGGTTTCACTAAGCAGTTAAAAAAAAATCCCTTCCTTACAAAACTGAATTGCCTTAGAAAGTTACACAAAGAGAAAATGATACAGGTAAACACCTAATTATAGGACAGAAACCTGAACAACAGTCAAAAGAGAGGGTGGTTTAAGAGAGGGCTTTCTCTAGAAAGCCAGGTAACAGTCTCTTACGTTGCTCTGTAAAAGGAAAAGCCATTTTCTTTTGTTATTATCAAAGGACAATAAATTGGGAAACAGCAAGCCAAGCATTTCAGTTACAAAATACAATAAAAAATTTATGTTTCTAAAGCTGCAAAGCAAGATATCTAGGTTCTAGGAGGCCTATTCCCAATCTTTTAGAGAAACACAGATTTTTTTTTTTCAAATTTTATAATAATTTAAAGTCTGGTACAAGCACATGCATTTAATATGGAGTTTAGGTGGACCAGAAAACTGACTGAAATCACATCACTCAAACATTTAATGCGTGACTCTGAGCCACAGGTTACACCTTTAAGGCATCTGGTGGGGGCAATGCGATTTGTGAGTGACATTTTACTGGTTCATTTACTTACTTTTTAAAAATTACTTAATTTTTATTTTTATAGTGGTTTGCATACAAAATTGATATACATTGTGTTTTGTTTATACATATTGTGTTTCATACATTCCTCTACTCACATTGAGCTTCTTCGTATCCTTCCCACAGACTGTGCTTTATAAAATTAATCACCACTGATGATACTTTTGAGATGATTGATGATACTTTCACTTGCTTGCTGCAGTAGCTTTTAGGAGAATTCTTAATAATGGCTCAAATGCCATCTGCTCTGTAAGAACCCTCCAGGGCTTTAAGGCAGTTGGTTAATTTCTTTTACTTTCCCTAACATTCTGTTCATAATCTTATTGGGTTACAATATACTTTCTCCCTTTGCACGGTGGCTTCCGCACTAGACTGGAAGATCTTCCCAGGCCAAATCTGTTTTCTAACATCAGTGTTCAGCATACTTTCTGACATTAAATGGAGACTCAAATACCTAGCAAGTGAATGAATAGATAAACTAATGAACTTTACAGATTATAAACAGATGCAGAGACCACCATGAGGTCTGAAGAGATAAAAGAGAGGTCAAAGAGCCATGCTGATGCAATGGGAAAGCACTGGACTGTTAACTGAAAGTCTGGAGTTCAAACCCACCCAGGGGCTCTTTGGTAAACAAGACCTTCAATCTGTTTTCATAAAGATTACAGCCAAGAAGATCCTACAACTAACACACAAAAAAAGTTTATGTTATATGAGGTGGGGTGTTTTACCTAATGTTTGTGAAAATATCTCTTTCTCTGAAATCTATAAGACTTTTCAATTTATTTTTTGTTAAAAAAAAATCTATGCAAGACACATTATTTGATTTGTCAGAAAATAAGTAATTAAAGATGGAGATTTGTTAGCAATTTCAAATTAATTGGTTAGTTTATCTCCTAAAGAGGATTTTCTGTTTGCAAATATCCTTTCACATACATAACAACATAATTAACAATTCTAACTTTTCTATGTCTCCTTTAAAAGCATTTGCATCCTATCGACGTACACTGTGAAGGTGAGAATACACTGGAATGAGAATCTGGGAACCTACTATCTTTTCCTCCATTAATTACTCAACAGCGCCCAATCTAAGTCCGTTAGTAACTTCTTTGTGATCCATGAACAAGGCTCTTTCTTGGAAGCCTTCTGAGCCCTGTGTGTATATTTGGGAGAGAGAAGTAGAGAATGACTACTACAGATTTGCATAATTCACAAGACTGTGCAATTTGTAGGAATCCTTAAAAATCTCTATCCTATTTTTCCCCATGAACAACCGTCACAGGCTGCTCTGGTTGTGTGGCCTGTAGGGAGCTATGCTGTTTACTCAAACCCACCAACCACACTGCAGGAGAGAGATGGGCAATCTACTCTTGGGCGGTGTATGGCCTCCAAAATCCAGTCGAGGGTCAGTTATGAGTTGATTCGGACTTGACAGTAATGAGTATAAGGGTTTTTTTAAAAGATTGCTACTAGCCTCACATTTTCAATTAGAAAAATAAATTCCAAAGGTATGTACCTCCTCAAAGTGACAAGAAACATGTCAGGAAGTCACTTACTCCCACGGGAATGGGGAGATGGTATCCGTTGTTAACAGCAGTTCATCAGATTGCCAAGTGCCTAATGGATTAAACAAGGCTTTCCAGACATCACAGACTATGGATTTCTCTCCCCTGGAGTGGGCTAGGCAAATTACTCCATTAATGGAAGTTTATACCATTACAAGTGTTAAGGTGACATGTAGCAGAGGTTGACTTATTCCTTTTAAGATACCTGTACTATAAACTGTAGCTCTCTTCGTTCTGCTTCCCACTGTTCTGCTTGTAATCTGAACTCTTCCAGAGCAGTCTCCCTGATATGAGACTCCAGCTCATTCTTCTCCTGCTGATGTACTTCCAGTGCGTCCTTGATATGAAGAAAAGCTTGCTTTACTATCAGATTAGAACAGTTTACCTCCTTCCTTCATTCCCAGTATACTTATACAAAGTTTTTGTTCTGTGTTGTGTACCATCAATTCAGAACCAACCCACAGCTGACCCTCCAGCGGGTTTTCAGAGGCAGTTAATCGCACAAGAGGAGACTGTCCATCCTTCTCCTGTGAAGCAGCTGGAGGATTCAAACTGTGTGCTTTAAGCATTGCAGCACAGTTTTACCACTAGGCCACCAAAGAGCTGTCCTTATTTAAAGACTATTAAAATATCTTACAATTCACATCAAAATAATTAATCAAACTATCATATTTAGATACTATGACAGGTTTGGAAGCAGGAGTGGCATCCACTTCCTAAATAACATGCCTCTGGAAACTCTATGTACTTTGATAAATATCGATAGTTGTAGAGGGGCTTCAAGCCCTTTTGTTCATAGGGTCGCTATGAGTCGTGCTCGACTTGAAGGTAATCAACAACAACAATCCTATTTAAATCATCTGAATAAGAAGCTACACATTACCCATTTAATTGAAGCAAAACTGCATATATAGCCATATATATTTTAACTCAATTTTCCTGAAAAGTTTGCTTAACTTTAGAAGTTTAAATAAAATGCACTAGATGACAAAGAAGCAAAACCAAGTAGGTTCCTATTAATAGCAAACTCAACAAACACATCAGTGGTCATAGTTGACCCTCCAGCAGGCATTCAGAGGCTCTAAATCACACAGGAAGTCATTACCCATCTTCCTCCTGGGCTCCAGCTGGCGCATTAGAATCACCTGCCTCTGAGTCAGCCGTGCAACCTTACCCAGTAGGCCACCAAAGTGCATTAATGAATAGAACAGTCTCAAGTTACCCAAGAACACACTGATTGGATTATTCCTTTAATTTACACATAAATCTGAGAACAGTATGTTTCCAAAAGCGGTGTCAGAGTCATGCAGGAAACTCCAGAATGTTAAAAAGTTATAGAAAAAGGGGAGCTCTGGTGGCCTAGTGGCAAGGAGCTGCAACTACAATCCCAGAGGCGAACGGTTTGAATCCACCAGATGCTCTGCCAGGTAAGGAGGGACAATCTCCTCCTGTACCAGTCAGATCTGATTTGACGATACACACACAAAAATAATAAAATATTTTAAAAAAAAGTTACAGAAAAAAATATTACTTGACTATTCTCTAATTCTTCATATATATAATACTTGCAAAAGGCCCTTCTTTTTGGGTTTTCTTCATTAAGCTACATTTATAAGATCCAATTTATCTCAAAGTCATAAAAATAAAAAATGAGGGCTTTCTAAGAAACCAAATTGCCTAACTTTTTTGTTTTAAAACTAAGTCACTAGATCCTTTTCTGGTTCATGATATGACGATTGGTGTTCACGATTCTGTATGACATGTGCTTCCCTTAAACCTTGCTACACTTCGGCACATTACCCTCCGAAGAAGAAGGGGGAAAAATAAAACAAACAAACCAAAACTAAGTCCCTGCTAAAACCAGGATAAAATGTTTGGTGTTTTATATGCAAGAGAAGACAATTTCCATGTCCACATGGCGGCAGAATGGATGGGTCTTCATAATACAAGCTCACCCTGTTAACTGTCACTAACTGAAAGACATTACAAATAGCCTTGAAGTTTCCCCCACAAGGTGTTACATGTTAGGTCACTAATCAAAGGGTCAGTGGTTCAAACACACCAGCCGCTCCAAGGGAAAAAGACAAGCAGTTTCCTGTAGCAAAATGTTACAGGGTCAGAAACCCGAAGGAGGGTCGACAAGAATCAGAATCAACTAGAAGACAGTGGGTTGGTTTTAGTTTGGGGATTCATTTGCCCACAGGAGCCCCTGGAAGGTACAACAGGCTACACCGGAAGTGCATGACTTTTAGCTGAAGGCATGACAGTCCCAACTCGTGAGAGATGCCTCTGAAAGCAGCCCTAGTGATGTGCCTGCCGGAGGCTGCAGCCTTGAAAACACTATGTTGTGGCCGTTGCTATGCTCCATCAAGTCTGAACAGACCCAGAGCCGACCCTGGAGGGAGTTTTCAGAGGCAGTAAAACCACACAGGAAGAGACTATCTTTCTCCCATGGAGCAGCTGGTGGGTTTGAACCAAGTGCTTTTGGAACTGCAGAGCAGAGCAGCTTCTTACCACTAGGCCATCAGAGCTCTCTTGATAACCCAAGGAGAGATTCCACTCTGAAAACTTGGAGTTGCCACTGATAGGAATTGGCTTGATGGCAACTAACAACAATAATTTAACCCCTAAGGTCTCTGCAGGGAGCTCTGTTGGCCTCGTGGCAAGAAGCGGAGCTACCATCCTGAAGGTGTGAGGTTTGAATCCACCAGCTGCTCTGCAGAAGAAGGACAGGGAATCTTCTCCCATGTGATTAACTACCTCTGAAAATCCACCAGAGGGTCAGGTACAGGTCAGTCCCGACTTGACAGTACACAACAACAAGGTCTCTGCAGATCAGAAAAAAAAAGGCAACAGCCTAAAATCAAAGCAGAGCTCTCCTGAGCAGCTGATCAAGATCCTATCAACACCGTCTATCTTGACCTGTAACTGTAAACAATACTGTTCTCATCACTCTTCATAGCGAGTGAGTGCCAAGACATTCTATATGCAGAAGGCTACATGGGCCTGGCCTCCCTCTAACCAAGGGAGGGCTTGTAACAAGTATTTCCCTACACATTCAAATACACATGCCAGCTGATGTCTAGAGTCTGGAAATAAATACGTTAACAAATGGGACAAACTATAACTAGTGATATAAGTAGATCTGCTAAGAATGACTACGTATGCCTGCGTGAAATCTTTTACACTTAGTAAATGCTTTCGTACTCTTTTTTTTTTCAATGTGTTGATGCATTTCCAGACTCTGAAAAGCTATTTATACCAGTGGTAAATGTAAACAGTATGAGATGGATTTTTTCTTTAAAGTAATTTTTTAAATAAATTGCAGCTATATGCATATAAAAATCTTTCTTCTAAAGGACTGATAAAAGAAAACTAAGGTCATAGTCTTATTTTAGGAAGGGAAAAAAATGAGAGATTAAATAAATAAATTAAAACAATACTAGTAAATTTCATTAACTATTTACATATAATATAGAAAGTGCTATACACAGATCATGTTTTCATCAGATATAGTCTTTTTCTAAACTTACTATATATTCAGAACAAAATTCATGAGGTATATATATATTTCCAAATTTTCACACCACTGGAAAAAAATCTTTAAGTTTAATCTTATAATATCCTTGTATTTCTTTTTCCTTTTTTCCATCAAGCTGTTCTTCCCAAAAGAAAAATTATTATATTAGCATACTGCCAAAGCAAATTACAAAAGAGACCAGCAAGAATATCACTCAGGTCTGAAAGGAATATATAATTAGGCATTATGTGTATGACAACAATCTGGAGCAAGGGGTGCAATGCAGGGTGCGCTGGCGGTGAGGGGAGGAAGAACATATGCAACAATGAAAAATATAAGTATTTTAAAAAAAAACCTCAGAAGGAGGGGTGCAGGGAGAAAAGAAAAAGAGAACAACAAAAAGCAATATTTTACGGCTTTCTAGTAGCTCTTTTCATGCCAAATATAACCCACCTCAGTGAGAATTACACATCACAAAATACTCTTTTAAAGACTGTTTTACCTGTAGTGCTTGCTCCAGTTTGCTTTTTTCTTTCATAAGTAAATCATAATCTCTATTGCAATTTTGAATTATAGTATCTCTTTCCTCCAAATCATGTTCAAATCTTCTGCATTCTTCTTTCCATTTCTGCTGGGAAGTCTGAAGTGCTTTTTCAATCTCATTTGCCTTTTCTTGAAGTTCTGAATTTTGATCTATCAAAAGTAAAAATTCATTATATTTTACAAATAGAAATTCATTTATATTTCCTAAAGTTTGTTGTTAATCAACCAATTTCTGATGCTTTTGTAATATCTACTGATGGATCTTCCAGGGAAAAGGCTTGTTTTGAACCAACTGGAGATCTCTGAAATAGTTGAATGTTCATCATTTTCAGCACAACAAGCCAAATTAAAAGCTATTGAGCAAGTATTAATAGTTTACCCTTAGTCTATAGTCTAAAACTGTATATATAGTTTTATATATAAACATATATAAT